CTAGAGTTCGTGTGGGATGGATGAAATTTAGGGAACTGGGTGGGGTATTGTGTGGAAAGAAATGGTCAGTGAAGATGAAAGGGAGGGTATATAAAGCATGTGTGAGAGCAGCGATGATATATGGTGGTGAAACTTGGGTGTTGAGGAGAGAGGAGGAAAGTGTACTGCAGAGGGCTGAAAGAGCTATGGTGAGGATGATGTGTGGGGTTAAAGTGAAGGATAGGAGGAGTAGTACAGAGCTGATGTCAATGATGGGACTGAATGAGGACATTGTGACATTGATAAGGAGATCGAGATTGCGGTGGTATGGACATGTGTTGAGAAGGGATGAAAGGGTCGGGATTAGGCGAGCGTTGGAGTTCGAGGTTGAAGGAGTGGTAGGAAGGGGTCGTCCGCGATTGGGATGGAGAGAGCAGGTGGAGAAGGACAGGGTGAAAGCGGGGTTGCGTGATACTGAGGCGAGTGACAGATGTGGATGGAGTCGAGGGGTATTTCGGTTTCATCATAGGTAGCCAAGCGGCAACCCCCGATCTCGGGGAAAATGCCGTCTAAACGTGTGTTTGTTTGTTTTTTTTTTTTTAAATTAAAAATTGAAAAATGATGAAATGATAAAAATAAAATTATAAAACTTATATTGAAAAACTCATTACGACATCATCGTCCAGAGTTGCCGTCAGGCCAGACCTGAAGTGGTTGCGGTGGATCGATCTACTGCTGCTAAGGTTGCTGACGCCAACTTTGGAGGTGCAGTGAAGAAAATTTCTATCATAGTAATGATGATAATGGGCACTCGTCGTTGCAATCAATCGCAGAAAGTTATTTTTGTATAAATGGCATGCCGCACTTTTCGTCAAAGCTCGCTGAACATTGCAGACGGATTTACAAAACATTTTAAATATTTAAATTACGACGAATGACGAAGAAACCACGACCCTCAAAGTTGAATCGAACGATATTTAGATAACAACATGGCAAAGAAAAACATGTCTGCAATTTTTCAAAAGAAAGTTTTTAAAGTTTCTGATAAAGTTTTTATTATTTATTATTATTTGATGCAAAATAAAACTAATTTATTATTATATAAATAATTAATTTACTTAATTTTTTACATTATAAAACTTAAATACAATTTTTTCTAAATTTAAAACCATAAAAACTACACTTTTAAAACATTTTATGCTAGTTTACTTTTTTTTACAAACACACCACTCTGCAATCTCGTTTGACAAGCATCGTTTTTTTCATCCATATAATAATATAATTGATCTGTTCAACGATGTCAACTTGTCGATTTTTCTTGAATAATTTGAATCCAGTTTCCAAATTGAAAAATGATTATTCCAGGTTTAAATGTTACCATGTGTTAATAACTGACTCACGGATTCAAAGTTATAATGTTGAAAACCAAAATGTCTTTCTCAAGTTTTATAATTATAAATTACGCTCACAAGTAGTCGTCACGAGAAAAATATCGCAATCGTTTTATGACACTTGCCTGTCACTCGATGCGCCACCGATCAAGGCGGCCTACATATTCTTGGACAGCATACACAACTACACAGGCCTACCTTGGTGGGCTTCAATACTTTCCGCAACTTTCATCCTCAGAACGACATTGACGCTACCAATATTTATTATAACTGCTAAAAACAACGAAAAGCTGGTAAAGTTATCACCAAAAGTGAAGAAGTTGTCAGATGAATTGAAGATAGAAATCTCAAGAGCACAGAAAGAATTCAAATGGGATGCCAAAATGGCCCTCCATCATTACAGGTGGAATGTAAGATGCTTATTAATTTTACATCAACAAATTTTGAAAACTTTGTACCCAGACATAACCAGATAGTAACTACAAAGTAAAAATTTCAATTAAATAAATAAAATCATGTCCTAATTTGTATACAGATGAAAAGAATTGTAAAGGATCTGTACGTAAAAGAGAACTGTCATCCAGCAAAAAATTTCATTCTTCCTTGGATACAATTGCCAATTTGGATATCAACATCACTCTCACTCAGAAACATGAGTGGAATGTTCCAAGTCGATGGAAATGGTTTGTTACTTAGAGAACATTTTTTATGACAATAAATAATTGATCTAGACAGAAAATGAATAAATAAATAATTTATCTTTTGAAAAATAATGTTGACAGTCATACCAGCCCATTGCCCAGAACTAAGCATAGAAGGAATGTTATGGTTTCAAAATCTCTTGTTGCCTGACATGATTTTCCTACCATTGATCATGCTTCTGTCGAACACTCTAATCCTTGAGGTTACCTCAATTTTTTACACCTCTAAACTTTCTTCACAGCAAACATATACATCCAGCTTGCAAACATATAAAATGAATACATCTCACCAACCTAACCACCAGTTTCACAACAGAAGAATTAAGAACCACACAAAACTCTCAAAGACCATCACATACGTTATGAGAGGCATCAACATAATCATGGTGCCCATTGCTGCCACTGTGCCAAGTGTTAGCCCAATTGTTTATAACTCAATGATTTATTCTGTTTAACATACTTATTTTAATCTCAAACAGTGTCTTAGTTTTTACTGGGCATGTTCAAGCATCTATGGACTGCTACAAAACATCATCATGAGCAGCATCATGAAGGGAAAGTTCAACACTGAGCCTCCAGCGTCTACCGATGATAAGATTGAACAATTTAAAAACTTAAAAGATAAAAAATAATTTTTTTTCTCAAGTTTTGATTTGTATATTTATAAAAAGAAACAACACTTTTTTTTTACATTGAAAATTTTTGTATTCTTAAATTTTCAAAAACAAAAGAATACTAAATATTCAAAAATATAATCTGTCAATTCCAAGTCAGGATCATCACTGTAGAAAAATATTTAAAAAATATTAAATAATGATATAAATTAAGCATCAGTTAAAAAATGCCAAAGTGTAATCATCAGGTGAAAATATTGCATAATAATAATATGTTTAAATATTAATCTAAATTTCAAAGTCAAACATCCGATAAAACATGACAAAAATCATACCTTTCCACCCTTGGCAGATCCAGAGGCAGCCCCAACTTTGGCCTTCTTTGTACCTCTGACTTTCTTCTGTCTGTTCTTCCTCTCCTTTCTTTGTTTTTTTGATGATTTGGTGAGAGTAACCAGGCCATGCTGTTGATATTTAAGGCAAGATAATGTTCAATACAAATTTATATTAATGACTGAGTTTCATTAAGGTCTCCATACTTTTACCCAAAATTACATTTACAATTAATGTCAACTTTGACTAACACAAAAATAGAATAAAAAATCAATAAAAAACATATATATGTATATATAATTAGGAACAAGTTTGTTAATTTATACTCAATTACTAATGTTCGAACAGCTCACAGCAAAACTTTTTGATTTGTATTTAGTTAAAAAATGATGGTAGAGAGAAAATTGACTTGCACTACTACAATTTTGTTTACTATTCATGAACAAAATTTGAACAAACTTAGAAAGATGCAAAATTTTACAACATACCAAACGACAACATGAAAAAGTAAAGATAAACAGATTAAAACACATTTTTCAATATAACTAGCTTAATTAATTTAGTTCTTGAACAAATATTTTAAAATATTATCCAAAAAGCTAGGCATAGCCAACAAACACCGATACCTCAAAAATGACTACAAAATAATTATTGTGCACAACACTATTATGTTTTATTTATTAGCAAAACAAAAACTTACTCGCGCCAATCTATATTTTGGTTCAAATTTTTTGGCCACATCAAGAGTATCATATATCAATGCAAAACCAGTTGTTTTGCCACCCTGGAATTGGGTCCTGAAGCCAAAACAAAATACAACATCTGAAGTTGTTTTGTACATCGAAGCCAGTTTATCTCTAATTTCAGTCTTAGGAACAGTTGATCGTCCTGGGTGGAGCACATCGACTACCTGATTGGTTATGATTATACAGATGGCATAAAATTATTAAATTAAAAGAATCATCGGTAATAAAATCATCAAACTAACCATCTGTTTGCGGCATAAAAGCCGGTTCGTCAGAAATTTTCTCGTTCTTACGGTAGCAACACTGTCGGCCTGAATTGAGTTAGCATTGAGTGTTAAGTTTGTTGGGCCGAATGCACATAAAAGTATATACAAATAAAAAAAATTTATTTTGGTTGAATATTATAAATTTTAATAATCGGATGACCAGAGAAAAATCATTAAATAAAAAGATAGAAACCCGACATACCATCTTGACGAATCAACTTATGGCTACTTGTTTTGAAAAGAAAAAGGAAACATTCCAAAGACTCCAGATAGAGTCGTGATTAAAAACAAACTTCAATAATTATAGCGGTTAATTCTTTTACCAAGATTACTGTATACCATATTCTATATGCAGTATACTTATCAATCAATTAATCAATCAAATTTTATAAGAGTTTTTTAATTTGTACGAAATGTCTATATATTTTTTTCATGACATTTAAATCTCTCTTCATTTGGATATAATATTTTATTAACTTATAATCTGTCGAACGCATAAGACCTTTGATAACACAATCATTCAATCTTATAAAAATTGCATTACAAGTTTACACTTTTTTCAACTTTATTTAAAAGTTGTATTGTATTAAACAAAAGTTATATTTCTATTTCTAACGTTTAGAACATCTGACTGGTGATTGTTGTGCATATAGTGTGTTAATAATGCTCCTAATATTGAAAAATGAAATATACTCGACGACAAATTGGTAAAATAATTGTAACAATGTTAATAGCTCATTTATTTGCTTATATTTAATTATCATAAATTATGCAAATATATAAAAACACAACTGATTAATTCTGCAGGAAGACGTAATTATTAATATTTACAATATTGCTTACAAATAAAATCACATTGCTTTCAAATAAAATCACACACACGCACACACACACACACACACACACACACACACACACACACATACACACACACATACCACACCACCCACACACACGTACGCAAATACACACACACACATGCACCCTACACACGCACAAAGACAGAGATGGAAAGAAAGAGAGAAAAGGAGAGAGAGAAGAGAGAGAGAAGAGAGGAAGAAGGAAGAAAAGTAGAGAGAGAGAGGGACACAAAATCAATTTAACGTCATAAAACTTGATCAAACTAGTCCTCTTTGGCCAACTTTTTCAACTTTATAAGACGGGAAGAGGCCTGCTTCAGATGAATCAAGATAGGAACCTAATGAAAAGCCATCCCAATGGTCGCCATGCAATTTTATTTCATCGCCAGTTTTCAGAGGCAGCTCCTTATAAGCACCCTTATTATTATTATTATTATTGTTGTTGTTGTTGTTTTTGGTGTTATTATTATTAGTATTGTTATTATTAGTATTGCTATTATTATTGTGGTTATTATTATTATTGTTTATGCTGTTGTTATTGATGTCATTCAGGATGTTAACGTTGTTATCGGGGTTGTGGTGCAGCCGAACGATGTAACGTACGTTGGGCTGGCCCAGGAGGTAATAGGTGTCGTCCAGACTCCTGAACCTCTGAGACGCGTCAGCGTGCAACGTTTGCATGATTTCATAGGCCGCCCTACACACCTTATCGAAATTATTCATTTTTATTAAATATCATAATAATAAATGTTATGTCAAAATGTTATAATATTAAATGGAATTTCTGCAATTTTGAACGAAATTGCCTAATCATTAGAGTTTAATAGAAATCATTAGTTGAGTTATGAAAATATTATGATTGATTGATTGATTGATTATTATAACAATCAAGGCAAAGTTATAAATTTCAAAAGCGCGCAAATGTACTGGAGCAAGTAGGAACGAACCCCGGATGAAAAAGTGCAGACGATATAATCTGATTTCGATAGGAAGTGGATATCCTTGATAATGCCAGCCAGGGATGCATCTGAGTATCTATTCACTTCCACAGCAGTATTCACCACGTTTTCATCGTGTAAAATTTCGTAATCCGGATATCTGTGGAGTAGAGTTAAGCGTCATTTCTATTCATTACCATTATTATCATCGTAATTATCATCCCCATCATCGTCATCCTCATCATCACCTTTTTGGTCATATATATATATATATATATATATATATATATATATATATATATATATATATATATATGTTTGTGTGTGTGTGTGTGTGTGTGTGTGTAAAATCACATCATAGCATTAAACCTCTGTATAGCCAGATGAATGACATTGATGTCATCGGTAGCAATGTAAACTCTTCTCTTCACTGTCTAATTACATTAACGTCATTAGTGACAACAATTGTAAAAAAAACAATAATAACAACAATAATAATAACAACAAAAGATTTACTAAGAATGAGAACGGTGATAACAAAATTAACGAGTAGAACAGTAGAGTAATGGTAATAAAATATTAAATAGATAAGTGTTTGTCACAAAAATATTAACAGAACAACATGTTGACTTCAGCATAGCGACATCAGAAACAATGACAACAATAACAATTTTTAGTTACAATGACACTTTATTAAAAATTGTCATTTCAGACATTGGATTATTTTTTATTTTTGTGAACAATGTTTTTTGGAACGCATGTTGACAGCACAAGTGGCTATGCGGATTTTTCTCCGGATTAAAAAAAAATTGAGAAATTGAAAAAAGATTGAGAAATTAAACTAACAACATTAACAATAACGAAACATCAACAGCAACAACTTCCAGAACAAAACAAAGAAAACTAACCACATCAGACCTTTTATCGACAATTTGTTGTTTGAGATCGAGGTACTGGTAGTAGTTTTCCACGTGGAGCATGTACTCCGAGATGTCATGAAATGAAGCTTCAGACTTTAATTTATCCGTTCTTCTTACGTGAATGCTTTTGAAATATAAAACACAAAAATTCGTCATTTAATTATTTTATAATGTAATCATTTAATCAATCAACCAATCAAATAAAACAAAAGAACGAACGAACGAACAAACAAACAAACAAACAAACAAACAAACAAACAAACAAACAAACGGTTAGTATATTAGTACATAAAACACATAAACGAAAGCAAGTGGAAAGAGACAACGAACCTGACGATAGGATTCTGAAAATGATGCTTCACTTCATCAGCCACCAATTTATCCTGTAGCCATTTCTGGGGCTTCAGCAAGAAGCTCAACATCTGACCCACCCACCAGGCGGTTGGTTCTCCGTGCAATCCTTCCAACCGTTTAAAAATTTCAAGTGGTAGGGCCCGTGTGTGGACGAACTCTTTAAATTTTTCATCGCCAGCGGTTTTAGACATGTTAAAAATTTTGTCGGAACCGAAAATTTTTTCGGGATTTTCACCGTCTGCCTTTTTTGTCTTGTTTGTCTCGTTCTCTTTTTTTCATGTAGTGGTTATGAATGTATTTTATTCGTTTTAAATATTCAGATATTAAATATATTTATGAGATAAATTACAACGAACTGTTTTTAGTTAATTTGTTAAAAAATTTTAAAAAAGACTCAAAAGAAACTCAACTGATCATGTTAAAAAATTTGTTGTAATCTTCCCGACAGTTAAGCGATGGGTTTTCGAAATAATGGTTCCATGCTTTGTTCGAGTAGTGCCAATCTGTTTTTATTTCATAGTATAATCATTTTAAAAAAATATGCAAGATTAATTATGTCATATTTCGCTAATTATATTTAAGACATTTTATCATCATCTTTACCATAGCCTGCATTATATTAGTGTAATATTATAAACTATGAAATGAATGAATGAAATCATTTATTTGCACACAGACAAAAAATTAAATAAAGTTGTGTACAAAAGGGAACCGAAAAAGAATAAAATTAAACGAATCGGTCCCTAGTTACAATATGAAAACGAAAAAGATAATAATGGAATGACTTTAAAGAATAGACAAAAATAGACATGTTATAAAAAAATTTAAAAAAATACACAAATACAACACCTGTCCATTAAAATCAATAGTAACATAAGCAATTAAACGACTTAAAAAATATTCCAAAGACTTTAAATAAATCAACAATAAAAATTTCTTGTTGCAATCTAAAACGATGAAACAAAAAAAAAGAAAGTAAATGCCCAAGGACAAAATGCATAAGAAAGTTGTATTACACATACATATTATAAACACATGCTACAATCACCTAAAAAAACACGGATTCAGATACACCCATATACACACACATATATACACACTTACACACATATATACACGTACATACATACATATACATATATATAGACATTTAGACATTAAATACTATATATGTTAAAAACGTTATAAACTATAAATGTTATAAACTATCATTATCGCCATCATTAATATTATTACTATTACAATTATTACCATTATCAGCATCATTATTATTACAAATATTATTATTACAAACATTATTATTATAAATATTATTATTACAATAATTATTATTACAAATATTATTATAAAAATTATTATTACAAATATTATTATTACAAATATTATTATTACAAATATTATTATTACAAATATTATTATTATTACAAATATTATTATTACAAATATTATTATTACATATATTATTATTACAAATATTATTATTACATATATTATTATTACAAATATTATTATTACATATATTATTATTACAATAATTATTATTACAAATATTATTATTATTACCTAAATCATTTTTGATTATCGTCGATTATTTTATTCAAACTTTATTTCATTCCATTTTATCTATCTTAATGTAATCTTTTTTGTGGGGAAAAGAAAAGATGCTAACATGAACTAACGTGTTGAATTAATGACAAGCATGCGACGACTAGCGTAAGAGGCCATCAAGCAGTGGACGAGGTGGTGTAGCTGACAGGTTAGTCCACACGTGTTCCTCAGGTAGCAGACAATGTACCTCGTGTCGTCACATTTGTCTGGATTCTGTGTTAGGGTTGGCACGATCATGATGATGATGATGGTGACGACGAAGACGATGATGACGATGATGATGGAGGCATTGATGATGACGACGATGATGACGACAGTGATAAAGACGTATTGTCGATAATAATGAAGTATTCTAAGGCGAAAAAAAAATAATATTGTTATGTCGGCAATAACAATTGTAAAATATGACATTCAATCATTTGAATCAACCAAACGCTACAAAACATGGCAAACAACGCCACTGTCATAAAAGTACACATCAATATTTTTAGCGGCGTTTTCTAACATTCGACGAATGCCCATTCAGCAAATATCAGGCCGCTGTGCATCTGCGAACGAAACTTTTGTCCGCACATTTTGTTTCAATCCCGGCAGAATGAATTGCTATGTTACGATCAATAAAATAACACGGCGGTAAGATAAATCGTTGATGATTGATCTGAAATATGCGACCAATTTATTACAATTTTCAGGAAATTGCATTGGATTGGCTGGTGATTGGGAAGCTTATTATTGGTAGCATTTGCAAGCACGATAACTTTCAAACGTCCAAGTAGATGGACTATCACCAAACTATTATAGTGTTTAGAGTTGTGGTTTAAGAAGCTTTCCTCGTGGAAAGTTGAAAACCAGTACAGGAGACTTAGACCTCAGTTTACAAAATCCTGTTGTACTTCTTTCTTATTTTTTGTTTTGTTCTTTAATTGCGTTCCGAATTCGATAGAAAACATTCTGCTTCAAATACACTGACTTTCATTAACCGTTAGTTGAAATGTTATTTTCTGCTTCAAATTTGCTCTTGAGAAAGTTCGAGGGATTTTATTTTATGAAGCATTAAGCTTTATAGATCATATACAATTGGTATATATACATAAACATACATATGTTTGTGTTTGCGTGTGCGCGAGTATGTTTGTAGGTCCGTCTGTATGTGCTTTATTCAAAAAAAAATATATAAAAACAATTAACATTTATTCCGTGCAATCTTCGCTGAATTATTGCAGATAGGTTGGACAATATTCTGACTTGCATGTTACTTGTAGAGGCATCGTTTAGATATCGCATATAACTGAAATATAAAATATTATTAGTAACGTTAACTCAACATTATTCAATAATATTAATAACATTAAAAACATGTAAATTAGTAACATTAATAACAACGCTAATGTGAACGACATCATAAACTTAACAACCAAACACGATGCTTCTATTAATTAAACGGTTTTGTTAAATCGTAACAAAAAAAAAAAACTAACTTAAATCTATCTTTTAAGTTTTGTAAAAATTTATTGGCAAAAGTCAGATGGGGGTTATTATTGAGACTTGATGAGAAATCAACCAGAAGTGGCAGTTGTGACGTCAAGCTGAGTTCCATATCTCGAATGTTCTTTAATAGTCTTCTTATTGTTATCAACGATTTCGTTTCATCATTTTCGTTAGCCGCTGGATGAACGTCGGATGTTTAATTGCTATTTTTAAAAGGGTTTTCGTTCAGACTTTTAAACAACGTGTCGGGGTCGATCGGAATCCGAGATTTTTGCCGAAGTCGGAGGAATTATTTGAGGGGCCAGCGTCGGAGTCGGATATTTTTCATTCGACTCTGACCCCGGAAAGTGTTGTGAATTTGAAAATTTTTTTATTTTTTATTCTGAAAATGTTTTTTTAAGATCGTGTTTTTTAGAAGACAAACATGTGTAGCAAGCGTTTTTAATGCTGAAAGTAAATGCTAATAATGTGAATAAAATCACATAATCTTCTTTCAGTATGTTTTGAAACCTAAATATCGAGTAGTTTTACTAAGAAAAACAATTACATTGACTGATTATTTTACAGGAGTGGGAATTTTTTAAAAGACCGGAGTTGGATATTTCTTAACCGACTTCGACACACTGCTTATAAATTAAAACACGATAAATGTTTTGCATCCATGACATTATACGTCAACTATCACAATAGAGAGACAATTACGTGTAAGAAAATATCTATTTTTGTTAACGTTAATAAATGATATTCAATCAATTTCTATCTTAAAAATAATGAATGTTATGTTGAAATAATTTATAACTTACAAATAATCTTCGAAGAATCTTCAGCGTTTAATGTCGGTCTAGAAATGTTTATTGAAGTTTAGTACAAACAAAATAACTGAAAAAAGAGCATAAAATCAGGTTCACTGGTAAATAAATCGTAATCAGCAAATATAACAGTGAAGAGTAACTTTCTGATAAATTTATTAGCTGATATTATTATCATTTTATTATTTGCAAAATTTTTTACTACAGTTCAGAGAGAAGTTTGACGAACCTTTTAACATCAATGTCATTTGGCAATTCCTGGCTCTGAGTGAAAATTCTGACGTCAACATCATCAAAACCGCCGTTATTTAAATTAACCTCATCTTCTTTAATGAACCGGTGGATTAAAATTTCACACCTCTCTAATTTTGAGGACTTAAAGATTTCGAACGATGTAAAAACCGTCAACAACCACAACAAAATCATCACGAACAGGTGTCGTCGGAATATTAAACGAAAAATCTTCTTAAAAATTGCCATTAAGTTAAAAATTTGCTGGAAAAAAGTTCATTAAACAATATTATATGAATGCAACACTGATGGATTTTTAACTTATCTTGAGTATGTTAAATAGTTGGTTGTTTATATTATTAATAATATACATACATACATGCATGCATACATACATACATACATACATACATACATACATACATACATACATACATACATACATACATACATACATACATACATACATACATACATACATACATACATACATACATACATACATACATACATACATACATACATACATACATACATACATACATACATACATACATACATACATACATACATACATACATACATACATACATACATACATACATACATACATATAAATAAACTCAAGTAGGTTTATAAGGATCGAAGTATTTATAATGTAAGTTTCAGTGTTTACACACGCACACACTCACGCATACACGCACACACACACAGTTATATATATATATATATATTAAAATTGGAAGAAACCGTGGTGAAACACATGTATTTTTTATGCCGTCTCAGCTCCTGTAAGCTTCACCTGAACAATTGAGCATGTGCGCTGTGCATTGTGTAAGCTCATTATAATTTCAATGTACCTATGCATAACTGCGTCTGTATGTGTTTAGATCTATTGCTAACTCCTTTTGGGAACATTTTTACTGCAGTGAATTTCAGGATGTCGATAATTTAGTATAAATCGTGTAGAAAGTAGGATTTTTTGTCTTCACCGTCACTTTTTTCATATTAAAAAGCAATCTCCCTTCTTCGAAAAGCTTTTCAGTCTAATTTCTCGTCTTTTGACTCGTGTCTAGTGATAAACAAACAATTCCAGCTTAATATAAGTAATAATATAAGTAATAACATAGCTACCGTTCTGAAATGTCATTGGAAATAAAATATGATAGACTTCATATCGGCCTACTGTAATAAATAAAAATGCATGATATGTACTTTTTAACAAAGAAATAAAAAATTATTGTTCACCGAAAATAAATATAACTAATGTCTTTAAATTGTTATATCCTATGCAGTAAAACCTAATAAATTATACAATAAAACACGACAATAAAAAATTGAATACCAATTTAAAATTAAAAGACACAACTTTTTGTTTGCTACAACTTCAAAAAGAAGACAAACCGTTATGATAGCATACATACACACACAATATTCACATCCCATTACATTCATTAAGCGTTTTCTTCGTGCCTGTGTATCAGAGAATGGATTTATGATGTCATAGGCGTAGCCATTGTCTTGTTTTATTTGGAAGAGGTTCAAAAAACATTATTTATCTTTACAAAGTTCAAACTCTGTCAAACGCAAATGCTTGCCATAAATGTAGCGTATATATTCATTTAGGAAAATGAAATATTATTTTATTATATTATTAATATCTATATTAAGGCATTTTACTAACCCTATTAGTACGATTGTAGTTTGAAGAATTATGTGCGAGTAACAATAGAATGACCATTTATAAATAACGGAATAAATATAGATGCTGTTCCAGAAATAAAACACAACTCTGGTTTCAGACAAAAAGTTAGCAATAAAATTTTAATCATTTAATTAGGACAAAAATCAAACACTGACAAACGGCGAGCTTGGTACAATATTGCAAGACGGAAAGGGAATTTTAATTAAATAGAGGACGATGAAATGATTAAAATGATATATAAAATAAGTAGATGGTCATTAATATAAACAAACAAATAATAAAGGATTAAAATAAGATAAAATAAAAGGATAACATGATTTGTACGAAAATCGATGAGTGAGTAATTCGTTTTTTTCCTTTTGTTCCTAGCAAGCGAAACTGCGCATGTGTTGTTACAACAAATATTTCGGGTACAATTTTTTTGTCTTAGAAACAGTGCCAGCACATTTCGTAATGTAAAAATAATACATAGCCATGTAATGTTAGAAATATAGCGAAAGGAAAATACGTTGAAGATTAAGGTGATAAGAGGGTTCGATAATTGAATGATTTGATTATCTTTGTTTACAAACCAGGGTAACTGAATACCAGAAATTTATAACATAAACCTTACAGTTATAGTCTTAATAACAACGATATTATACCAAATAAACCTCATATCCAAGCAACGTCTACCTCAAACAAACGAAGCATTATGCTGTCATCAGACAGGAAATCACAGTGTCACCATAGCGAATGACTACAACTACTAAGCCATTGTTGAAATCATCAACCTTGCTCAACAGAAGGGTTTTGGACTAGATGGGCGTCGCATTTTTGCGCAAAGTACCGTGGTGGTTTTTGGATCATGCGGAAATGATCTGTAGTTTCTGCAGAAGTTATTGCAAATTTTTTCCAACGTTAAACTTATAAGCTTCAACTGTTGTTAGCACAATACATGTGTAGTGGATGATAAGCAACTGTTCTGGCAACACATGCTAACTCAAAGTAGGAGCAAGATGACAATCTGCCTGTCACAGTGCAGTGAGGAGAACGCTTCAGTGCGTTACCATTATTACCTGACCACGAGTCCGATAAAATTTTTGTCAATTAATTTTATGAAAAATAAAAAATATTTTTTTGATAGATTTTGATAATATAATGAGCTGTCAAAAGAGAATGCTGAAGTTCCATTATACCTTGACTTCTGTTTTTGGTAGCTGTGCACATTGAAACAACTAATGTTCTCTGAAATGTGTTCAAACCATTAACAGCTAAAATCTTGCAGTCAACACTTTCAGTTGCAAATTGAGTAAAAAATCTAGATGTGAAAAAATGAATTCCTCGTCAAAACATTTAACATAATTTTTCTTAAATCTTATAATTTTAAAATATGACATCGAAAATCCTAATCTTGACGAGAGTTTTAACAAAAGTTTACAATTAACTGTATGATCAACACAAACACAAACCCCATACAATGTGCGACAATACAAAGTAGGCCGCACAACTTGCACTTTGGGCTACTGCCAATAAGAACATTCTTTGTTTCATTATTTATTAAATTCACGAATATATATATAATATTTATATATCCATGATTAAATAATCAAAAAAATACATTAACTTAACGGGAATGCACTGTCTACCCACTGACCAATACTACATATAAGAGAATTGCCTGGAAGTGTCCATATTCATGCTCACAAATTACAAATTTGATGAGCCCTTACCCTAAAGTCTAACACTAGCAGTAACAGTTACAAGTATTCGTTCGCCTACACCGTTTGTGGTTGCTTTCATGAACTGTGATGCCATTCATGTCATTTTCTGGCAGCAAATTATATTATTACTTATCAATAATTTCAAAAAAAATTTCTACTAAATTAATTCCTGGTTTGACACAAATTTTATTTTATCAGACTCTGTTGCTATAGTAACGTGATAATGGTATCATAGTTTTTTTTGTTATTTTTAACGTGAAATTTTCATCAATGCACTTTGAAAATTCGATTTTTAGACAGTTTAACTTTAAATTTGAACGTTATTTCAAACAACGTTATTAGCAATTACGAAAATTCACCATTCGACACATCTCTACATCTACAGGTTATTGTAGCAGGTGAGTGTGTTGTGTATTGTATTCGGCGTTTTGTGATGAGTATTTTACTATGAACGTATGAACTTTATCTTTATTATTGTATACAATACACACACATATCTATATATAGAGAGTTAGCCTATAACAATATATGATCATACATTGATCTCTATGTTTAACTGTTTAACATTGTGTATATAATACAATGCATCATGATATGTATAAGACAAGTATATAGAATAGAACTATGACTATATAAATAATTTATAATTCAATTACAATAGGATAGCTGTTCTATTTACTGAATGAGTGGCCTGTATCCGGGTTTAACTGTTTATATGATTTGTCATTATTTTTCATTTGAGTAGGATTTGTTACTATATTATTGTAAATTATTTTTCAGTTTCAAATTTAATATTTCTAATTATGCCTGTAATTATTAACCTGAGTAAATCTGATTCTTCTGTCCCTTGGGGTTTCAGACTTTATGGTGGAAAGGATTTTGGATCCCCTCTCACAGTCCAAAGAGTAAATTTTTTGAATTCTTCAAATTTTTAAAGAAACGTTTTCAATTCAATTATTACTCTTTGTTCATTATTTTAAACATTACTTTGTTTGCTAATTTTAATTACAATTTTCTTAAACTGATACTTTATTATTTATTTCATTGTTTAAACTTTTTTTTGTTAGCTACATATAAAATAAAAAATTGATTTAATTGTAAATTAAATTGTGAGTTGAATTTTAAATTGTGAATAAAATTTTACATTAGTCCAGTTTAGTAACTTTTTTTTTTGTTTATTAGGACTAAATCATGGCTAAATAATAGTTTTTTATGGTTAAAAATCATGGCTAAATAATAGTAATTTGATTTGAAAAATGTTCTCACAAAGTTAGCAATGGTTAATACTAATTAGTTGGTTAGATCGAAGTTATTAATCATCATTATAATATCAAATAAAAAAAAGTGTAAAAAAAGGGGTTTCAGATATTTTTATTTTAAACTATTTAAACATGACCAGATAAACCCAGGAAGCATAGCAGCAAAATGTGGACTGGAGATAGGTGACAACATCTCTTCAATTGATTCAGTTTCAACAACTGGCTTGAAGCACAAGGAGGCTCAAGACTTGATTGTCAAGGCAGGAAACAATATCCAGCTGACAATTTGCAGGTCTGTTCGGTTCTGCTGGTTGCCTGTTTATTACTGCTCATTAAAAATTATAATTGTCTATCTACATAGTTTTGTAAAGAGTAATTAATTAACTAGTGATAAAAGAATGCAAAATATTTTAAAATGTTTGAAAAAATCTTACTAAATGTAATTAAAAAAAACACCTTGAATATTTTTTTACAGAATATAGCTAACTTTCCTAATTCAATTTATTAGAGCTTATAACATTTAACATAATACAGTGCTAGCAAACAACCAACAAATTGATAAACACATTAGCATGAGTTTTTTGAAATACTGGATTTTCATTGAAACGGAGTAATGTGGCCATAGTTAACTAGTTCTACTATTTGCTTTTCTTTCCTGGACAAGACAAAAAGAGCAAAAAGAGGGAGGAACAGAAAGAGGGAGAGAGAGAGAGAGAGAGAGAGAGAGAGAGAGATGAAATTGTATTGTATTGAAAGGTAAAGAATAAGGAGGATTTAATGTTATGTGATGCACAAGTCTGTTTTAGACACTCATTTATGGTATTGTTGTTGATGGTGACGGCAACAATAATGATTCTTAGGTGAAAGTTTGATGATGTTAAAAATATCATTGAGGTTTTGGGTAGTAAAAAAAATTATTTTATGACCATGATGATAAAGATGATGTAGTGATGAAAAAATTTGTGTAATTAAGATATGAGCTCAAACTACTATAAACAATCTTTGTTGTTGGATAATTGTTTTTTAATTAAAGATAAAAATGATAACAATTCTTCATGTAGTAATTGTCTTGTACCATCAGCAGAGATAAATGTAAAAATATTTCCACTATCTATTAATTAGGCTAGTGCATTTTCATGGTTGTGTCCTGATGAATATCTTCTGAAATAATACTTTGAATAATACTTTTTGTAAATGTTCCACAATAAAATGCCGCCTTGAATTGTACTATTAAATATCATTGAGAAATTTCTTTAATTTTTCTATTTTAAAACGAGCAAGTCAAAATATGTTAACGACTAAGACACTGATAACAGTGAGAATGATGACTGACGGTGATATTTTATTAAATTTTTCTCCCAGATTGTATTTATTTTTGGCACTTAATTGAAATTTTTAAGATAATGATGAGAACAGTTAGGTAATGATTTCAATGTGTCATGCTAATATTTCGCCGTCGTTATGGTTCTGGTGATTTTTCAACAGTAGTGAACTGTTGTTTAATAATTTTAATTTTTAGCTGTTTTAGTTAATGGTTTCATCATAACATCATGTTGTTGTTTTGTTTGTACTGCAGAGGTGACGAGATTCCAGTACGCCCTGCTGATCAAACTGTTGTAATCGAGCAGACTACGGTGGGTTGATTGTTGTTAACTTGTCATCATTCTATGACTGGGATGATTTTTTGGGTGGCCGGGCTCGATAAATTTCGTAAATTTTATCCTGATCAACACTCTGTGGCATTTCCTTTTTTATTTATTACAAAATAAATCTCGTTTCGTTCCGTATCGATTGTGAAATTTTTCAAATGATGCATAGTAATGAAAAAATAAAATTGAAAAAAGTAGTCAATTACTCACATTTTTTGCGATGTTAACACAGCTCTGGCAGATACAGATTAAGATATACTTGTCATCATGACATTTCTAATGTGCATTTATTATGGAAGCGTTCCTCATGAATTTGTTAAGTTGTGTGTGCGTGTGTGTTGGTGCGCGTGTGTGTGATTAAGTTGCTCTAATTGATTATCAATTGGTTGATAATCTGCCATATTATCATCGTTATTGGTTTTTCTCTCCACATCAGTTCAAAACTGATAGCAGACAGCCAAGTGTTCTCAGTACTCAAGTCCATTCGTTGACAATAAGGTTTTTTTTAAATTATTATTTATCTTCATTATAAAGACATTTTAATACTTAATTGCATGTTTTATTTATTTACTTTTTCAGTGAATGTTGCTATATATATAGTTCCAATTAAATCAGTTGCATCACAGTCACATGTTATGTTAACAGTGAACTTACAACTTATTTTAAACAGTGACAATGCTCCAGCAAAGCCATCAAGCACCAACTTCCTATCCAAGTCAGCGACTCCCTACAAGCCGGCCCACAACATCTCCAGCAACAATTCATCTCTCTACCACCCATCCATGCAGACCATCACCAGTGGTTTGACCAAGAATCACAGTGATCAGCAGCATCAGGAGGAGGATTTCCCACCCCCTCCGCCACTTCCCACTGCAGCTCCTCCCTCCAACAACTACTCCGCCATTCAACCTTTACCATCCAAGCCACACCAACCTGTCCAGTTCTATCCTGAAATTTATGTCCATGAAAACGATTCTAACAAACAACCGGCTGTAGATTCAACCTCAAGCAAGTACACGCCGTCAGAGACCTACAAACTGGTGAAGGACATGGAAGCAGGTTTGGATGTCCCCTTCAATCCGAGGACAGGTGCTGGGGTTCGATCATCACCCATCCAATCTAAGCTAGTGGATATTCTCGAAAAGAAACATGCGTCAGTCTTTTTTTTTCTTTTTTTCTTTTTTCTTATTGTTATTACGTCATGCTATTATTATTAAAAGCATTTGAGCTCTTTGGTATAATTTTATGCTCATAAATAGGACGCTATATAAATTAATAATAATAGTAAATAAAAAATTTATTTTAGAACATTACAAAATTTTTGTTAACTGTATCTTTGAATTACCGAAATTTTCAGGACTATAGAGCAGAGTTCAGTAGGACTGACCGCCACTCCATACGCAGGCCCAAAGAGCAGTACTTCATCATACGCCATCAGCAATGCTATCAACAACAACAGGAGCCTTAGTCCAGCCCTTCGCAATAATCCAACCAACAAATTTTCTCCTCCTAGTACAGTCAGTGAAGTAGGTGGTGCTGCAAAGTATGCTCCATCTTCACCGTCAACATTTTCTTCATCAACATCTCAGAGGGCTCCAGTTGCGGCTGATGCATTGGATTCTGGTAAGGTGCCTATCTGCAACGTTTGCAATTCTCCTGTCAGGTTAATATTTTTTATCGCCCGTTTGCTTGTTGGTTTTCTTGTTCACATCACACGTACACTGACACTTCATAACGCAAGCACGACATGGCAAAAATGTATACAGCAGAACACCTATATTCATAACACAACATACAACATCACGCACGTGCAGAGGGGCATACATCCTTGCAGTGAACAAGATCTGGTGTCCCGACCACTTCCTGTGCAGCAATCCCAATTGCAGGAAACCTTTGTCAGAATCAGGGTTCGTTGAAGAGAATGGACAGCTGTTTTGCAAGGAGGATTACGAGAAGTTCATGGCACCCAGGTGCAGCAAGTGCCAGCGACCAATTGTAGGGGTGGGTGAACAGTTAGACCGTTGTTTGGGATATGATTTCGAACACTTTGATTCAAAATTAACTCATAATCCATATTAATCTTTTCACATCACTTCGTTCCTTCTTCTCTTTTTAACACACATCGGAAATTTTTTCCAGTTAGTCAGCATTCACAATTTTCTTATTTTAGAACACTGTGAAGGCCTTGAAGTCAACATACCATCCAGAATGTTTCACTTGCAAGCAGTGCAATCAGCCCATCATGGGAGGCAGTTTCCATCTGCATGAAGGAGAAATCTATTGTGACAGAGGTTGATAACCAGCATTCATTCTAATAAATTTTATTTAATATTTTTTTGCAATGTTATTAATTATTTGCTTCAGACTTCACAGCCATATTTTCAACGAAGTGCATTGGATGCAACTTCGCCATTGAGGTAGGGGACAATTGGATTGAAGCTGCAGGTACGAACTGGCATGGAGAGTGCTTCAATTGTCAGGTTGGCTGGTAGTTTATTTCTATTTTAATAAATTCCCAAATGCAGCGACCGTCAACAGCTTTGCAAATTTATCTTTGCATCATCTTACATACTGCACAATATTAAAATCTGTTGCAAATGTAATCTCATTTTGAAGATAAGGAAGGATAATGATTGAACATGCTCGTATTAAACATGCGCAGGTTTGCAAGGTGAACCTGCAAAACATCGGCTTTGTTCAAAAGAATGGACAGTTCCTATGCAGGGATCATGCAAGATCTGTTTAATTTATTAATTTATTCCATCCATAATTTCACGCACATTCATTTCGAATAATTTAATTTAAGTTTATTTAAGTTGGGCTCGAGTCTAGAGTTTAATATTTTATAACATAATAATACTGATGATTAACACTACTACTATTGCTGCTACTGCTGCTGCGCTGATTCGCTTGCACTCGTGAATATCATCATCTCATTCATTCGTGCGTTTCTATATGAATGTTTGCTGGCGGAATTTATTTGATCTATATAATGATATATTCACTAAAATACTTGCATCTAGATTATATATGTAAATCATTGCGCAATCATAAACGCACGTACATACGCAAATCCAAGCATGTTCCGAGACACACACGCGCAAACATGTTTACAGACGTACGAGCAAACGAAGGAGGAACGCGTTCAGACATGCACGTACAAACGTGCAAAACATTTGTTCCTAATTTAAAAGTTTGACTAATAACTTGCGACATTCAAATTAGCTGAACGTTGAAGATGTCTGAAAATTTGTTCTGTTCGCATGCATCGCGGAAATTATACAAATTCCAAGCATAATTGTAGCAGCTTAGTCATAGAGTTGCGACAAATGATCCGATGATTAAGTGATAATCTATTTATATTCTTTTTCACATATTAATGCTGAAACAGTTATTTTGAAATGGTCAGTGCTTCACCGCGAAAGACTACGCTACTAAATACGCTCGAGACATTCTGTACATATGCATACACACACATACGCAAGCACATAAACATGTGCAAAAATGTCTAATTGTTCGTTCACGTATAAATTTATATTAAATTCATTGTACACTGCTATTGCGACCATGTTTATAATTAATTCACATTGTATTTAAACATTTCGTGTAAATGTACCAGATTGATTTATATATGTATGAAGACTATGAAGAATTTATATATGTTTCTCGGATTTCTGTATTAAGTGCGATTATATTTATACATTATACTTGGAGAAACTTTATTTGCAATTGCTATTTATTGTACTACAGAGACGTGGAAAATGTGCGCTATTCGAAGTTGTTATTTAAACATCCTTCCGGATGAAATGATTTGTTAGCTTGCATTTACTTACTTATACATACAAGAATTATGCCTCGTTATATTTATTATGTTTTGAAACTTGATTAATTTATAAATTATTGCAAAAGAAAAAAAAGAGTCTGTTTTTTTTTTATTTCAAAGGGAAGTTTGACGTCAAACAAAAACATTTACAACATTAAACGACATTATTCATTTTACAACATGCACGCATACCATATTTTAAATAACACACTGTAGAAATTTAATGAAATGAAAAACAGAAACGTGCAAAGTTATGAAGGCAACTCAGGACCTCCTGACTGATAATTTCCTGAAATTTCTGCACCACTGAAGTTCATACCAGGATTCTGGTGACAAATAAAAATCACATGTAACTTAGTAGCTTTTAAAAATACATACATATCATTGTAATAACAAATCAACAGGTTATATGCAGTGAAACCATCCATTTATTATCATACTTTTGATAAACTTTTCATCCTTTTACAACTAAATTGATGTGAAATATCTAAGCAGTAGGTAGGGGCTTTACTCTTGTAAAAATGGGTTGTGTAAGTTTTAAGACAGGGTTTGTTAATCCTATCCTTGAGAATAGGCAAATAATTCGTTGAATGTTTCAGTGGTAACTAGGTTAAAATAAAACAACTAAATCCAATTAATTATTTTGTCAGGAACTGGTTGTTGAAGATGTTGAATAGTAAATCCACGTAGCAATGCAATTTCAATGTTCAATGAAAAAAACTTATTAGATTTTGTTGGTATGAAGAATGCTGTTTATTGGAACAGGTGAACATGACACTGAATAATTTTATTGTTGTAAAACTGCAGAAGAAAGAGAAGAACTTTATATCATCAAAGCTGCTGAACGTTCAATGCTCTAGTCCCAAGAATGATTGCATAAGATGAGAATAAATAAGGTTATAAAATATTACTATTGTTCAAAAAAGCATATCTCAGGCAAGGACAGAGAGGACAGGTTGGTTGGTTGCAAGAGGAAAAATATTATGAAAACTGTCAAAACATATTGCAGCATAAAGAAAGAAATATACAATAAATTAAATTATAATAAAATGATACATATCATAGGATTAATATACCTCCAGTTGATATCTTTGTAATGTAAGTTTCTTCTGCATCTGATCAAAGAGCCATGCATCAGTTGCATACTGACCTATCAACAGACTAGACCAACATTTAGATGCCCCCTTCTCATTCTTCTCTAGGCAAATTCTTACCAAATTATTGTCTTCTGCAATTAAATTTTCATTTGTTTTAAATAAAACAATAATAATTTGTAATATTGAATAGTAACATTGAATCTTTACAGTAAATTACCTATCTTTCTATATTACCAAATCTCAGGTATGTATAAAAAATTTACGAGATAATGTGCATGTGATAACTAATTATAACTACAGAATGAATATTCAAATAACAAACAAAATAAACAATTCAGAACTAACCCAAAGTCCAAAGAGAATTATCTGGCTGAATTGTGGCATAAGGTTGGCCCTGGTTAAATAAATTAAAGACAAGTTAAAAATACAAGAAACATTTTTTATGATATAATATTATTTAATTTAATTAAATAGATGCTAAAGAATAAAAAAACAGACATACAAACTAAGTTTAGCAATAAGTTGCTAAATAAATAAACAAATCATCATTGCCACTATCATTTGCAATGACGAAAATGATTGCAAATGAGTGATGTAAATATTCTATATCTAGCACACGAAACAAAGTTTCAAGATGAGCCAGCTTGTCTCAAAAATGACCCAGGAAGCATCAACAATATACTTTATTATACTAAGTCAGTAATCAGCTAACTAAACTTCATGCTAGCTTACCTGGAAGGTGAACAAAATGCCTGTTGTTTAGTTTTGCTATGCACTATGCAGTGACCTGGTTCAAATGCACCTTTTCTTTTTATATGGAACATTTCAACCTGGACGAAGTGCCGAAATTGCAAAATCAAAACCGTGTGTGTGTAGATTATAAATTAATTATTTTATTATATTACAAATAAAAAATAACTACCTCAAATATAGTTTCATTTTTCAAGGATAATTTGACAAGGTTCGGCTTTATTGTACATTTTACATCCTTAACAACGGTCCCAAGAGGTACTGACACTAAAACTGTCACATCACTTACCGTCTGCCACCACTGGCCCCAATCTGTAATACATGCTACGACACCACTCGTTTCATCAAAGTGCGCCATCCAGCTGAACGCACGTGAACATGCCAACGATGAGGCCAACAATAATAATTTTTCTGTTTTATTGTGGTCGTTGGGTAGTTAATATATAAGTTATTCTAAGTATATTATATGGTTATCTTACTATTACCAGTATATGTCACCAGCAGTTAGAGATATATTGTAATTACAGAACTTTGGAATAAGTATGTATATTTCAATTCCACGTACATCCATAAAAAAATATTTTAGAGTAAAATCCACTTTTAAAAATCAAATTTTTGCGGTGCATATCCATCCCATCCATCCGATCCATCCAGTCTGCTTCCCAATTAAATTAAAAATATTAAAATTAATTTTATTTAATATTGATCGTAGAAAAATCAAAATTTTAAAATTTCTAAATTTAATTTACAACAATGAACGGAACTTTAACAAATTTAGTCAACTTGTACGAAGAAATGCTCCGACATGGAGGTATTTTTCTTTTTACCACATTTGAATGTTTTCTTGTTTCTATCAATCAATCTTCGTTTTGCGTCCAGAGACCCGGTTTCCCGAGGTAGGACGTTGTTTTCTTTGCCATCAACTTTTTGCGCCAAATTAGACGATCAGTTGTATCCATTTCATTTAAATTTAGAGCTTTCATGTCTTGCTCGATTGTTTGCGACCAGGACTTCTTTGGACGGCCTTGGGACGTGTGCCAGGTACTTCAACATCTGCAAGAGAAGTTATGGCACTGTTTCCACTTCGTTTGACATGACCAAACCACCGCAGACGGTGTTGCCGGCATTCGTCCTTTATATCATCTAAACCAGCACGACGCAGGATTTCGGTAGATTTGATGTGGTCCTTCAGACTAATTCGTTGCATCCATCGGAGCATTTTCATGTCGGTTCGTTGAAGTTGTTGTTCCAGTTTGGTTGTCATTGGCCATGTTTCTGCACCATATAACAACACCGGACGTATCACAGATTTATAAAGTCTTGATCGTAGTGGTAGTGTGATGTCACGCCGCATCAATATAGATAGAGGCAAGGAGATGCCATTTATTCCAGGCTGCACGTATGCGTGCTCGAATGGCAGCTTCAGCTGTTCCAGTACAATCCAGAACATCCCATAGATATTGAAACGATGTGACTTTCTCTATTTTAATGGCTTCAAAAACAGTGCTATTTCGAATTTGTTGTTGTGGATTGATGCAAGCAGGACAAACAAAATTGGACACTTTAGATAAAGAAACAATTATTTTTGAACAACGTTTGTGACACCACTGGTTACACTGCTGACACTTGAGTGAATTGTTACCTACACCAGCTTTACAAACTGAACAGGGCCATCGTCCAGTAGCTGTGGATTGGATGGGTTCACCAGTGTTCATTGCTTTGGTTTTGCTGATGTTGACTTTGAATCCATGATCGGCGAGTCTGGTGTTCCAATCTTCAAACATCTGTGCTGCATTCTGCTCAGATGTGGCTGTTAAAACGATATCATCAGCATATACTAGATTCCAAATGTCACCAGTGTGTATCGGTTTTGTGATTTCTTCCATCACAGTTATAAATAATATTGGACTGAGAATCGAGCCTTGGTGAACTCCAACGCCGATGTCAAATGCATCTGTGTTTCCAACCGTTGTGCTGACAAGAGTCTTAGTATTCGTATACATTTCCATCACAAGTCGAACAAGATATTCTGGAATGAGTTGTCGACGTAGACTCCACCTGATTGCTTCACGGGGAACCCGATCAAATGCTTTTTCAAGGTCTACAAAAATGTGTGATAGTTGTTGATGCTTTGCGAGGTACTTCTCTTGCAGTTGCCGAAGGATGTGAATTGCATCAATTGTTGATTTCCCTGCTAAAAAACCAAATTGATAATTTCCGATTGTGATGCACGACATTAATCTTCTCTCAATGATTTTCTCGACAATTTTCAGGGAGTGTTCTAACAGACGTATACCCCGATATGATGAACAGTTCAATGGATCACCTTTGCCTTTGTATAGAGGAACTGTCATGCTATAGTTCCATTCAGTCGGCATTGAGCAATTTCTCCAGATTTCACGGCAAAGTTGTAGTAACGTTTGGATACCTGCAGTACCAGATGCTTTGATAATGTCATTTGTGAGTCTAGAGGGCCCTGCTGCCTTTCCATCTTTCATAGCTTTCAGAGCTTCCATAAGCTCCTCTACAGTGATGTCTGGAATCGGACCTTCGATGGGTGGAGCGTCAAAATTAACATTGATTGGATTTGTTTCGTTTAACAGACGGTTGAAGTATTCTCTCCATTGTTGCTTGATCTCATCTCATTCAAGAACCATCTCATTTTTGTCATTTTTTATACATGAGGCACCAACTATTTCTTTTTTGATTGTTTTGCTATACGATACAGAGATTTCATTTGTTCACCTTTGCTTTTAGTGAGCCATTCTCTGCACTGATCTGTCTGAGCCAGTGCAACTTGACGTCTTGCATAGTTGTTCTTCTCGCGGAAAATTTTATGGTCATCAACAGACTTTGATTTTTGCCATTGCCTGTATGCAACTTTCTTTTCAACTATTGCATTTTGTACACTGTCATTCCACCACCAAGTGTCACATTCACGCTGACGTTTTGTACCAGTTTTCCCACAAACTAGTTGCAGCGTTCATCAAAACGGTTTTGTATGTACTCCAATCTGTACTGGCTTGCAATTGATGGTCTAACTGTGTTGCGACGATCTGCTGAAATTTTTCTCGATGAATATTGCTTTTCAGCTTCCACGTTTTGATTCTCCGAGGCATTTGTTTAGACTTATGTTTTGACAGTTCGACAACCAGGTCTGCCACAAGAAGTCTATGTTGGGTGACACATGATTCGCCAGGTATAACTTTGACGTTTTTGAATAGCCTTCGGTGTTGCTGCTTGACAGCGAAGAAATCAATTTGCGTGGCTGATGGTCCACTTTTGTATGTTATGAGATGTTCCAACCTCTTTATAAAATATGTGTTCAGTAAACAAAACCCGTGACTTTCAGTAAACTCAAGGATGCGGTTGCCATCTTCATTCCGCTTTCCATAGCCAAAACCGCCATGCAAGTTGTCAAAACCATCTGTTTTCTCTCCAACATGGCCATTAAGATCGCCTCCAATCAGGATTGTTTCAGATTTTGGTATTGTTGAGATGGTGTCAGAGAATGCAGTCCAGAAGTCATTTTTCATCTCTTCTGATTCGCCTGTCTATGGTGCGTATACAGAAAAAATAATCATTGTTTGCTTTTCTATGCGAAGCTTGATCCACATAAGACGTGAATTAATCCTTCTAATATCCAGTACTTCTTGGGCTAGCGGTTCTCTGACAAAAAATTCCAACACCATTTTTGGCCGTCTTTTGACCATTCCAGAATAGTTTATATTTTTCTTTGTCTGAGTTGACATGACAGACACCATTCGATTTCCATCGGGTTTCCTGAAGGCAGCAGATGTCAATCCTTCTACGCTCGAGCATTTCTGCGATTTCCATGCTGCGGCCAATTGAGCGTTCCAAGTCTAAGTACCATA